AGAACAAACTCACAAAATAAGTGCAAAGTCAGATGAACTCACAATTGTGGCAAATAGAAATCCAGAAGCTCGATGTTATGATTTCTGACAGAGAGTGCATTGAAAAATAAATAAAGATAAAATAAGAGGGTGCATTGAAAAATAAATAAAAATAAAATAAGAAAGAGAGTGCATTGAAAAAGAAATAAAGATAAAATAAGAGAGTGCATTGAAAAAGAAATAAATAAAAATAAAATAAGAAAGAGTGCATTGAAAAAGAAATAAAGATAAAATAAGAGAGTGCATTGAAAAATAAATAAATAAAAATAAAATAGGAGTGCATTGAAAAAAATAAAGATAAAATAAGAAAGAGAGTGCACTGAAAGGGCAAAGGAGTACAAGTGAACCAATGGAAAGCCGAATTAGTACGCTTGAAAATAAATCTTTCATTATTAAACCTGCTAGGGGGACATTCATAAAATAGAACAAAAAAATCTGAAGAAAGCCTAAGAATTATGTGGGATACCATCAAGAGGAATAACTAACTTATAATAGGAAACCCAGAACAGTAAGACACCAAAAAAGGCACAGAGAACATTTTAAAAGGGTTCTTGGAAGAAAACATCCCTAATGTGAAAGATGAGAAGCACTCAAGAAGTTGTACAAACCCCAACAGGATAGGCCCCAAAGGAAAATCACCAAGACAGCATCATGAAAGTTTCCAAAACCAAAGACAAGGAAAAAATCCTGAGAGCAGCTTGGGATCAACAAACTTATCTACAAGGAGAACCAATAAGGTGAAGCTTTAATTTCTTAGCTGAAACCATGCAGGCAAGAAGGCAATGGATGATATATAAAAAACAAAGAAGAAAAAATAAAAATAAATAAATAAATGAATTTTAAAAACAGAAAAAATACAAACCAAGAATCGTATACCCAGCAAAACTGTCCCTTAAATACAATGTCAAAATTGTGACACTTCCAGACAAACAGAAATAGAATTTGTAAAAAAAAAAAAAGACTAAGTTCACAAGAAATGCTTAAAGAGAGTTCTTTAGACAGAAAACTGACAACGTAAGATTAGCATACATAACAGCACCCAGAAGTCAGCACATTGAAAGATTAAATGTAGAAACAAGCCTACAAGACTGAAAATAGGGGTCAGAGATAGTAACAAAGCCAATTACAAGAAAGTAAGAAGATATCACAAAACGTCTAAATGGAGAGAGAGTCAAGTAGATATAACGGGGAAGGGGAAGGCGATATACAATAAGAGGTTGGAGGGGAAATGGTAGAGGTGTAGGAAGATACTAGGAGTAGTGTTAGAGTTAAGTTAAAGGTAATAGGTCAAATAATGTTTTATAAACAACCCTGTAATGGTGGTCTGCAAGTAGATGCATGAAGTAGACATGTAGGCTGAATAGAGTGAGAAGGAAAATATATCAATTTGATAGGATATTTAAACATGGATATTTCCCTTGGCTATGTTATGGAAACTAATTAGATATAAACAAATACCTTGAAGGAATGAGTTGCTGGGCCTGAGGACTTAAGACAACAGTCCCATGGACACCAAGATCAATTGGTATATCCCAGCCTACAAAGACAGTGTTCCACCCCCGCCTTTAGTGAGTAGCACTGGGGTCTTAAAGCTCATGAGTGAGCACCTATTGGGCTCTCCTTGTCCAGCAGATGTATAAGTGATGGAAATAAGAAAGATACAACTAATTAGTTAATGGACTCATGGATCAGGTTAGCATCAGTCTTCACAACCCTAAGGCCAAAAGATCTACATGATGTCCAGTTACCATTACTGCTCAGAAAGGAATCATTTTAGAAGGCTCTGGATGGAACGGGAGAAAAATGTCGAATAAAACTGAAAAACATCAGGCTTGCTGAGGAGTTAGATACTGTAGGAACGAACCCCTGAGACTCTCTGGCTTAGTCACCTGTCAAGTCTGGAGCTGAACTTGTCACCATGACTCAATTTTCAAACAATAGGCAGTTCTGTGAAGGGAACAGTAGCACTAGTGAGCTATGCACACCTTGGAATAATAAACCAGTTGAGGTCAAAGGGGCAGCATTTACCCAAGTACACAGTTCAAAAGGGTCAGAAAAGAGGACTGGGCACAGGGAGGAAGTGGGGAGTAGCGTCAATGAGGCTACCTTGGAATTGCAGTGAACAAGCTGAAGCTAAATGTGTATCAATGTTGAATTTAAAGCTGAGGATCTTCTCTGTAAATCCCCTCAGTCACAGTAAAAAGTTTTGGTTTTTTGTGGGGTTTTTTTAGTAAAAAGTTTTTTAGAAAGAATTTTAGCTGTAGGCTCTTAAACTCTCAAAAGTGACCTTACAAAGTACAATTGGTTTCTTATCACTTGGAGCAAAAGGAAGAAGGAAAGTCAGGTGTAGGAGGAAGATATGGAATGTATGGCTAATGATTTCTGTGAACATCAGCCTCTTGTCACGAGACCAGAAGTACTGGATGGGGCCTGAAGAATCCTGCTTATAAGGGGGGGAAACATGGAAGAGATTTATAATTCTCACATAATCCAACATTTCTAGAGCCATTGAGGCCGAATGAACCCCTGAGAGTATTGTTCTGAGATCATTTTTAAAACCTAAGCCAAGAATATCCCTTGAAGTCTTTAAACAGCGGTTTACCTTAAAAGTCAAGCGTGCCTGCCTTGGCCTCTGGGACCACTCGGAAGACTCAGTGGAAAGCATGGGGGCTCTGAGTGTACGTTAGTGGAGGACGGTGAGCATGGTTGTACAACTTGAAGGGTGTACTGTGTCACTGAACTGTATGTGCAATAATTGTTCAATTGGAATATGTTCTGGGTGCATTCTCAACAATAAAAAAGTGGGGTTTTTTCAATAGTAAGTTCATCTCAGATAAAGGAAAGAGAAGATGGTCAAAAGAAAGGTAAGGTTTAAATGAGAGACTTGAGACCGTTGTGCTATGAAGAGAAGTTGATCTTGTGGGAGAAGGACTTACAGTAGAGCAGCGATTCTCAACCTGTCGGTCGCCACCCCTTTAGAAGTCAAGCGACCCTTTTACAGGGGTGGCCCGATTCATAACAGTAGCAAAATGACAGTGCTGAAATAGCAATGACAATAATGTTATAGTTGGGGGCGTGGTCACCACCACATGAGGATCTGTATGAAAGCGTTGCGGCATGAGGACGGTGGAGAACCACTGCTCTAGAGGGAAGCTCCTGGAGTGGCTGGGAGGGTGGGATCTAGAGCCCTCCTCAGAAGAGGGAAGGCTGCGGGTAGATAGAAGGAAGTTTTTAGATGTCACAGGTAGGCAGAACACTTTCCCAGCTCTTAATAATCTGAGGTAGGAAGCAGGATCATTTCCTGATATTGGAAAAGGGAAGCGAAGGGTTGTCACTGAGGGGCGCGGGTAGGTGTCAAGAGACTAAAAAGACTTGACAAGAGCTGGTGGGGTGACCCCAGGGTTACTGGCAGCCCGGAGGGACTGTTGAAGTTGGAAATGGTGTCTTCCATAGTGGTGTCTGTCTTTGCTGTCGCATTTATGGTTTTGTATCATGTTGGGCAGCGTTAAGCAGTGGTGGGAAGTCAGGGTGATCTCAGGTTGGGGTTTTGCCGTGTAACTGACAGAGCAAGAGAACAGGTATGGCTATTTCAGGAAAGAAAAGTGTGAAGGCCTGTGGACAGGCAGTGAAAAAAGGAGTTAAGGAATCCATAGGCTGAATTGTCAGAGCTAGAAGGCAGAACAGGGTGTCTAATAAGAGGAGGGTGTAGCTGTGCTGTGGGTCACTGCAACGAGGCTCTCAGAGTTGAGAGGCCAGATACGGATGGATCATTCATGTGAATGTTATAATGTCCCTGAAAATTACACAGGGCTTAGGTGCTATGGGGCCAGCCCTGGTGGCATAATGGTTATGCTTTGGGATGCTAACTTCAAGCTTAGCAGTTCAAATCTACCAGTGGCTCCTCAGGAGAAAAACAGGGCCTTCTACTCCCGTGAGGAGTAACAGTCTCCGAAATTCACTGGGCGGCTCAATCCTGTTGTGTATGGTCACTGGGAATCGGCACTGCCTCTGTGGCAGTGAGTTTGGGGTGTGTGATGTGAGCCTCTGCCATGGGCCCCAGTGAGTGAAGGAGAAGGGTAGTGTGTGGTATAGCTGGGTGACCTGACTCTCAAACCAGCCTGGGACACAGGTAGGTTGAGAAGAGAGGGAGTGGGTGGGGAAGATGGGGATGCTGGTCTCATGCCTTCCATTTGTCTCCTCCAGATTGATGTGCACCTCCAGGACGCCTTGGGGCGGCCCCATCAGTGTGGGACAATCCAGGTTGACTTCCAACTACCCCTGAGGTTTAACCTGCAGTACAGAGGGTATGGAACCTGGCCCCATCCCTTCTCCCCTTGGCAACCCATGAAATACGTGAAGGATCCCTCTTCTGCTTCTGACCGTGAAGCCCAACGCAAATCCTCCACACCTGCCCGGCCGAAGGCGAAGGCGGGCTAGTTCTTGGAACTGGGATCTGGAGAGTGCATTTTGTGTTAGTTTCCCCCTTTTACTCCTTCCCCCTTTTTTAACTCCAGGCATGCGGGGGCCCTGGAGCGGCCAGTCCTCATTCACCGAGCAGTGCTTGGCTCCGTGGAAAGAATGTTGGGCGTGCTGGCAGAAAGCTGTGGGGGGAAATGGTGAGACTTCTGACCCTGATTTCTGTTCCGGCCTTGAAACCAGATGGCTCCTCCCCTTCAAACCTTGGCTTCTCTGTCCTTCTCAAATCTCCGTGCAGCCTCAGCCTCCCAGTGCCTCCCACACTTCTGACCAGAGGCAGAATAGATCATTGCCCTCCTTTGTTCTCTCCAACCAGGCCATTGTGGCTGTCCCCCTTCCAGGTGGTGGTCATCCCTGTGGGGCCCGAGCAGGAAGAATATGCCAGGGAGGTAAGGACGAGGGCAGAGGCAGCAGTGCCTTGGCAATGCCTAGGACTTGGCACACAAATGGAGTCGGACAAACGTTGGTTTTATTGTTTGCTTTTTGGAGTTGCGGTGTGGACTGCTGGTTGGGGAGAGTGGTGGCAGGCAGCGGGCAGGGCCCAGGGGCTTGTGGAGCGGGCCTCATCCCCCACAGGAGGCACACTAAAAGGAAGGCGGAGCCCTCGGGGTGGAGGTGAAATGAGAGGCTGCTGGAGAGCAAACACAGGGGCAGGGGAAGGAGGGATGAATGGGGAGACTTGGGGGAGACTGACATCTGGCTCTTCAACCTTCCATTGATTTAAGTTCCCGTCACCAAACCTCTGCCCCAGGCACAGCGGAGCCTACAGGCCGCAGGACTGGTTGGCGACCTGGATGCTGACTCTGGACTGACCCTCAGCCGGAGAATCCGCCGGGCCCAGCTGGCCCACTACAATTTTCAGTTTGGTGAGTGAGTGAGTGGAGTTGCCAAAACCCAGGACACCTCAGAACTCGAAGCTCGCCCGCCCTCTGCATTCTTCCTTTCTGTCTATTACGTTTGGTTAAACGCATATTTGGGTTAATTGGAGCTCATTACCTGACCAAGGAGCCAGGATTCAGGACACCTGACTCATTTGGGCCCCAGATTCCTTCACATCCAACCTCAGAACAGTTTTCCTCTTGCCCCCCACCCCCACCGCCCAGCTCGTGGTGTCGGTTAGGCTGATTAACCAAGGCTGCATGAGAGAGAAGGGACTGGAAAGGTTAATGAGGTGTTAATTAATTAGTTTTGTTTATCCTAGACCTAGATAGTTATCCCAAGAAGAAAGACCTTGGGGAGAAAAGTCTAGTCCTACCTGCTTGCCGCTGTTTCTGATCTTCCACGGTTCAGAGCTCTGTCTTGAAGACAAGGAGCAGCACTCCCCAGCCGTTTCCCTGATTCTCCAGTTTTGCGCACCCCACTCACCCTGCTAGCAGTAGAGCAGGCTGCCCCGCAGTCCTGGACTTCATGCACATGCGTATTACACCGCCTGCCATCTCCCCTTCCTGGAGCCCCCATCCCACCCCACCCCCGCCCCAACATTCTCTCTCTGCTTCTTGATCTGTTTGTCTTTGTCTCTGGGAATGATACAGCATGTAGGAGGATGGAATGACCCTCTCACCTCGGGAGAGGTAGAAAACTGGAGAACAAATAAGACCTTAATTTATCCTGTCTTTGAACTACATTGGGTCTCTCCCCCCCTTCCTAAAGATTTAGGTCTCTTAAATTTCTGCACACAGAGAAGAAATACTACCTCAGGCCTCCTCTCCTCTCCCTGCAGTGGTTGGCCAGCAAGAGCAGAGCAGCCGCACCGTGAACATCCGGACTCGCCATAATCATAGACTTGGAGAGCGCAGCCTGGCGGGGGCAGTGGGGCGGCTGCAGGAGCTCCAGAGCGCCAGAGTCCCCAATGCGGAGGAAGTGTTCTGAGCCTTGTCCCAGCCGCCTGGCAGGGAGCAGCAGTCCAGCTCAGCCGAGGGTCTGCAGTCCCTGGCCTCCCTCCCCTTTGAACCAAGACTGGGGTTGGTGACCCTGGGGAGGGAAGGGCACTATAGCTGCTTGGCTGTGAGAGGAGTGAAACCGGGTAATAAATGTTGAGCCACTCGGTGTGTGTCTTCTTTTTAGCTCCTCAGAGGGAGGGCAAAGGGAGTTGGACTCTGTCTCTCTGTTTTGTCCCATGAGATCTTCTCAGCGCTCAGGAAGCTCACTGGGATGGCTAGTCTGTTGCCCCTGCAAATGTCCATAGTGCCTGTTTCCCTGACCTCTCTTCAGGAGGGGGTCAGATCATTCCTTCCCAAAAGGCAACATACAGAAAGAGAAACTGAGACACAAAATAAGGTCCCCGGCATCTCGTGGTTGTGAGTCTCAGAATCCCTTCCTCTTGGGGGTCAGAAGAATGCCCCTTCCAGTCACCCCCATTCTTCTCAATCCTGAGAAGGCCTTAGGGTGAATTTGGGAGGAGTGGCAGCCAGAGGAGGAGCAGCTGGTCCTGAGTCACTGGCAGGAAGCTTGGGAGGGCGGAGATAAAGACAGGCCTATAAAGAGGAGGGAGCTGGCCCTGGAGTTCACAACATGAGTAACAGCAACCGGAGAAGCAGGCTCCCAGCTGCCCAGCCCTTGAAATACGCATCTGCCTGTGAGAATCCACTTCCTGGGTGGCCAGTGACCAGTTGTTGCCCCAAAATGGGGGCCATGTCGGGAGCAGTCTTGGTCCTGGCCTGTTTGACTGTCGTTTCTGCAGCTGCTGAGGGAGGTGAGCTGGGTTGGAGGGAGCATTGGGGACAATGCCCTAACTGGCATGGGCTTGGGACCAGGTCCTGGCGTGGCAGGTCACTGGTCACCAGCAGGGTCAGGCCTCCCTGGGCAAGCTTAGGGTGGTTCTGGAGCCTTTAACCAAGGAGGGAGCAACAGGGGAGAAAGGATTGCCCAAACCCACAAAATTGAAGTCAAATGGGCAAATCCTGGGAGAGTAGCTAGAGTCAGAACAAGGGGCTCCTGCCTGAAAGTGCATGTGAGGAGTGAACCCTTAGGCTACTCAACATTGGTTTCCTGAACGGTGCCTTCACTGACCTGTTGCCTATGTAGGGAGGGCTAAGCGGGTATCCATGCATAGCAGGCCAGGTAAACCACCCAGCAGTACACCCTCTACAACACACATTCTTCACCCACCTTGGTGCTGGACCAAAAAGGGAACAATCGATTCAGTTCTCTGTGGCTATGGGTATGATTTGCCTCAAGGTGTCATGAATCATCTGTCTTACATCCTAAACAGCCTGGGTCAGAGCTGGGCCTAGCAGTTTAAGCACTTAAACGTCCAGGCTGGACTTAACAGAAACCCTAAGAGGCTCAAAGGACCTGGAGTCAGAGGACGGGTGGTGGGTGGTATTGCACAGGTGAGGCTCTAACCAGCTCAAGGGCCAGAGTGCTTCCTCTGAAGACCAGAGAAATATCCCAGCAGTGAGGCTGTGGGGAGGAGGGCCCAGAGGCCTGAAGGGAAGGATGCCCCAGCCCCACATGTCCCATTCCCAGACTTCCAGCCAGCTAGCAGGGACTAGCAGAATATCATCGGCTTTCTTAGAACCCAGTCAGTCATAATCTGTGTGCTTGGGGTGGGCGAGGGGACTCAGTAGCAGCAGTACAGAGAGGTTTCGGTGCCTTGGTCCTCTTCCCCTGGGCCCGACCTCCCCAACTTCCTCATCCCTCTCCAGAGCTCCAGGCTCCAGGCCAGAGGGAACTGAGAGCACGGCAGCCCACCCAGCACCCTCAGGAAGGTAAGGGTCGGTGGAGGAGAGCAGCATGGGGTCCAGGAAGAACTAGTTTCTAACTGCCTCCCCTCTCACCTCTAGTTGGCTATGCAGCACCCCCCTCCCCACCCCTTACCAGAACCCTCCCTGTGGGTCACCCAGACACATCCCAGCACAGCCCCGCCTTTGAGGAACAGAAAGAAGGTATGTTTCCACAGTGCCCCTCAGCTACCCCTCCGTCTTCAGATGGGGAGGACCGAAATGGGCCTTCCCTCCCCTTCACCTGCTCACACACTCACACTCCCCTCTGTAGTGCAACCCCCTCTCTCCAGGGGAGCCATTGCTGCCCAAGAGGAAGTGCAGCCCTCTCCCCAGCTCCCTGTGGAAAGGAAAGGTGAGTGGTGGCCCTTTCCGTAGCCTCTGCGGTGGGCCCAACCCACGGGGGCCTGGGCCTCCTGACACCAGGCCGACTTTGGTGTCCTCTCTCCTGTTTTAGCAGCAGACCAACCTCTCCCCCAGGAAGCCACCCCCCTTCAAGAAGAACTTGAACAAAAAGAAGGTAAGTGACAATGCCTCCTCTTTACCCACGCACCTGTCCCAGGGTCTGATGAGCAGGAGTTTGGGCGCAGACCAGCTCTTGGGCCCTGCCACTCAGCAGCTGTGTGACTGTGGTTAAGGCACTGCTCTTAGTCCTGGTTTCTTCATCTGTAAAATTGAGAAACTAGTACCGATTTTATCAACTTATAAGACAGTGAAAATAGAATTTATACAACTAGAAAGTGCCTCCCCCAACGTCAGTGTTCTCGTGAGTCAGTCACCAGAAAATAGTGATGAGCTTTTCACCTCACCGTTCGGTTTCAATCCCTAGCCCAAAGCTTCCTAGAATAAAACAGGGTGTTGCCCCCTTTCTCTGAGGACTTCCGTACCTTTCCCTTAGCTTTGCCAAGTTTTAAAATTACTTTGAAATGCTTTCGTATAGTGGTCGGTTGCCCCCACTCCCTTCTGATTCAGAGTACAAACCTGCAAATCCCTGCTCTGTTTTGGTTTGCGAAGTTTAAGCTTTTCTGCTGCTGTGAGAACACACAGGCTTCTGTCCCTTTTGATCCCGACTGAACTGTGGGGTTCTCTAAATGATACTAACCCCGCGTAGGTTTTACAGTCTCCTAATTTGTGCTGGCTGGTCATGCATATTCCAAATAAATATTTCTTTTGTTGCAAGAAAAAAATAGACTGTATGTTTACTTGGTTCCTCTTTATGAATGGGAACTAGCCAGGCCTTCTGCGAGGACTTCAGCTTTTCCCACTCACAGAGTCTGCCCCACACACGCGCTGCCAACAACGCCTCAGATTCACTACACGTTTGATTTTGAATTAACCTTTGGCTGTTGTGCGGCCAGGAACCTGGGGCTGTGACCAGATTTCCCAGGATCCCTACATTCAGGTGCCCAGTTTAAGGCATTAGAAGCAGCTTTGTTCTAGAGATGCCCATGCTGACCTGGGGTGTGGGGTGGGCTAGCCCCTTTGCTCACTCATTCCATCTTCTACCCCAGTAGACTCGTATTTACCAAATCAGGAGGAGATGACCTTGGGCTCTAAGCAGAAAGAGGGTGAGTGACAGCTTTGGTCCCCTTTGGACATGTTCCCTTGCTTCGGAACTCGGGGAGCCTGAGCTGTGGGAAGCAGCCCAAGGGGTACTTCTCATGTTTCAATTCTCCCATTCCTTTCTCTTGGTTTCCTTTTTTTCAGTCAGCCAGTCTGAAGGTGAGCGCTTCAACTGAATTCCTTCCCTTGGCCACCATATGTCTTCCGGACCCTTTTCTTCAACCCCAGTTCTCCCAACCCACCCAGTTCATCCATTACCCACCCACCCCCACCCCCAGCATGTTTCCCCCTTCCCACTCTGGTCTTCCTGAATTCTAGAAAATCCAGCTCCCCTCCAGGGCAGGGAGTCGGAGTCCTGGGATCCAGCCCAGCACTGCCAGCGAGGTAGACCCCGAGGGGGCTGGGGCTTCCGGCTGGCTGGCTTCCCCCCTGGGCGACCTTCTCCAGAGAATCTGAACCAGATCTGCCTCCCTACCCGCCAACACGTGGTGTACGGCCCCTGGAACCTGCCCCAGACTGGCTACTCCCACCTCACGCGCCAAGGTGAAACCCTCAATTTGTTGGAAACTGGATATTCCCGGTGCTGCCGCTGCCGCAGCCGCTTAAATTGTCTGGACTGTGCAGAACTTGTGGTAAGGGTTGAGTTTTTGATCCTGAGGTATGTGTGTATGGGGGTGGGGAGGATGGCTTTGGACTCCCGGTGTGTGTGTGTGTGTGTGTGTGTATGTGTGTGTGTGTGTGTGTGTGGTCAAGAGCATAAGCCTGGGGACCTTGGCCCTCCAGCACCCCCAGTGTGCCCGGAGAGAGGGGGAGAGCCTGGGCTGCTGTGTCTGCCTGCCTACCTGCCCAGGATCCTTTTCTGGAGGGCGGGCTGGCAGCAGGAAGCTGCACAGGGGACTGCTGGCCTGACCCTCCCATTTTGCTCTAGTGGGAGGACGCTCTGATCAAGTTCTGTGAGGCTGAGTTCTCAGTCAAGACCCGAGCCCACAGGTGCTGCAAAGAGCAGGGAGAGGCTCGATTCACCTGCTTCCAAAAGGAAGCACCCCAGCCACACTACCAGACCCAGGCGTGCCCTAGCCAAAAGCTCCACATTCCCTCGGGCCCCAAACTGCCTTTCCCCCCCGGGGTTCCCACTCTGGACAACGTCAAGAACATCTGCCACCTGAAACGCTTCCGCTCAGTGCCGCGCAACCTCCCAGCTGCAGACCCCGTCCAAAGGCAGCTGCGGGCTCTGACCCAGCTGGAGGCGGAGTTCCAGCGCTGCTGCCGTCAGGGGGATAACCACACCTGCACACGGAAGGCTGTGAGTGGGTGTCCTAGCACCCCGAGAACCTGTCTCCTGCCTGCCACCTCTGACCTCTGATCCCACCGGTCCGTCCATCCATCCATGTACTTTCCTGTTGTGAGCACGTACACACGTTCGTCTGCCTGGCTGTTCGTCCACCACTGTGGTCATCATCTGAGTGTATTCGTCCTGACCTTCATCCCACACTCCTGGCTTCATCCACCTGGGCATCAGCCACGTACCTGTCTGCTGTCCATCCATTCAGCCTCACCCGACCCTCTGCACCCACTGTTCCGTTCATCTCCTCCCCTGGCCGACTCCAAGCCTCGCCTGCCCATCCACCCTCCCTCCTTCCCAACCCCGCACCTCCGAAGCTGCCTCCCTCACTGCTGTGCCTTTGCCTCCTCTCCTGGAACCTGGTGCTAGGAGCCCCTCGCCTGCTAGTCCCGGGCAGCGAGGGAACCAGAGGGCCAGGAGGGAAGGGGCCAGGCGGCTGACTTCCCTCTCTGGCCCACAGTGGGAGGACGCCCTTGATGGGTACTGTGACAAGGAGCATGCTGTAAAGACCCACCACCACTCATGCTGCCGCTACCCTATCAGTCCTGCCCGCGATGAGTGCTTTGCCCGTCGGGCTCCCTATCCCAACTACGACCAGGACATCTTGACCCTTGACCTCAGCCGAGTCACGCCCAACCTAATGGACCACCTCTGCAGAAACCACAGGGTTCTCAGCAAGCAGTGAGTCTTTGCCCAACTGTCTTCCATTCCCCAAACCGCCCTCCTGGGACACCCCTGGGAAGGGCACGATCAGTGGCCTCTCAGCACCAGTTTGATGTGTGGAGATGTGGCCAAAGCCCTGACAGCTGCCCCTTTCCTACCGACACAGTAAACAGATCCCAGGGCTGATCCAGAACATGACTGCCCGCTGCTGCGACATGCCCCTTCCAGAGCAGGCCTGCTGCGCGGAGGAGGAAGTGAGTGCATGGGGACACAGAATCAGACTCCCAAGAAATGCAAGAAGAGGGTCTGGAAAGGGCTAGAAGACAGGTCATGCCTCTTCTTTAGCACCTTAAACCCGCCAACAGCAATAATGACTGGTGGGAGATCTTCTTTCTTGGTTTCGGAAGTCTTTATTCCTGACCTAAGTGGCTCCCCACCCTTACATTCCCAGCATGCTTTCTCTGGACCACCAGCTTCTGGCCATCCCAGGTCCTTCTCTCTGTCAGTCCCAAGGAATCCAGCTGTGTCAGGAAGCAGCCTTGTACCCTCTCTGGACTCCAAAAGGTCCAGGGACGGGGAGGTTGAAGGGAAGCCAAGGGAGGTTCTGGACATTCAAGTATTCATGCTTGACTTCTCCTTCACTCTGCTCCTCCTGCCTAGAAACTGGCCTTCGTCGATGACCTCTGTGGTCCCAGACGTACCTTCTGGAGGGACACAGCCTTCTGCTGTGACCTGAGTCCTGGGGACGAACAGACCAACTGTTTCAACATCCACTATCTGAGGAATGTGGCGCTAGTGGCTGGAGACACTGGGGATGCCAAGGGCCAGGGGGAGCAGGACCCAACCAAGGAAACAAATATCAGCCCCACCCCCAACAAAGAAGAGAAGAATGAGTCACCCCAGAGCCTTGGAGGATCAGATGGGGAAACTCCACCCCACCCCACCCTCCTCGAACACTCATTACAGTAAACACCTCTTGGATTTGGTGCAGTCTTTGTCTGTAGCACCGCACATGCAAACACACCCTTTTAAGCCTGTCTGGATTTTCTTCGGTGACGGGCCCCTGTGACCCACTGCTCCGAGGAGTTGTTCCCCAGGCCTGTAATGGGATCATAACTAAATGACTTCACTTCACTTATTTGTCAGCGTGAATTTGTGCACATGCTAACAAGGAGCCTCACCTTGTTAGCTGTTAGGGTTCAATGGCCCTACTGGGAAAAAATAGGGGCCATGGCCGTGGTGACTCAACACTGCCTCAGCCCAGCTTAGTGTTTTCAAAATTCCATGTTTGACCCTTCAAGCCCATGCCGAGTCAACATCTGTTTCTTGCACCCCTGGGAGTGCAGTGCTTATGACGCATTCGGGACTGCGACCTCCAACCTTTGACCAGGCTTTCCACACTGGTCAGCAGTGCGGGTTTCAGAAACGCCCGGTGGGGTCGCGGTGCGTGGGCATCTGGGTTTGTTGTCGTTGTGCGCTGGACGCTGGCGATGCACATCCAAATAGAACCCCCACGCCCTGCCCTGAAGATGCGGAAGCGCAGGGCAGCCGGGAAGCAGGGCGGGCGGCCCTCGGCGGAGCCGGGCTGCGCCAGAGCAGTGAGGTGCGCCAGGGCCGCGGCGTCCGGGCAGAAAGAAACCACAGTGGAAAACGCAGGCGTGCCGCTGGGGTGCGGGGGACGATGCAGCAGCCAGGGCCGTGCGCGGGGTAAGGGCGTGCTTGGCGCCTCTGCCCACGAGGGCACTGAAGGTTTTAGGCAGAGAATGTGCTTAGACTTACGGCTTAGGAAAACCCAGTGGTGGCCCGCCAGGGAGGACACCATGCCAGGGAGAAGGCTATGGACCAAAGGGGGTGGTGACGCGAACTCCGAGCCTCCAGAAGAGGCTGGGGTTGAGAGAATGCGAGCGGATTCGGGCCCTGAGGTTTGCAGGGCCTCCTCGGCCCGGTCACAGCAGATAGGGGGATTCAAGAGGCTCCAGTCAGACTAGCCGAGTCCCGCGAATTCTCAAGCCAACAGCCGCCTCCCCTCCCCTCCCCTCCGCCCCTCAGCTCCCGCTCAGCACCGACAGCCATTGCAGGCTAAGCCGCTCGTGCGCGTCCGCTGCTCTAGCAGCACCTTTGCTAGCGGACTGGCGCTGCCGGGCCGTCCTCAGAACGGACCAATCAGCGGGCAAGGACAGCGCTGGGCTCCGCCCCTGCGTCCCGGCGCCTCCCGCGCGAGTGGAGGGCGGCTCGGGAAGGCACCGCGCCT